TAGCAAAACATAAAATTACTAACAGTTTTGTGATATATCTAATTCATTATTAAAATAAAATGTGTATATATTTGCAGAGTACTCCAGACAGGCCAGATGAGTCTAAACAAGATCAGCCTCTCGTTTTAGAGAAAGTAGACGGTTACGGCCAGAAAATTTTAAGAGCTCATCAGACCCTGTTAGATATCTTGAAAGTTACTAACGAAAAATTAACCAATGGTTTAAATAAGATGTTTGAAAAGTTTAACTTCATTCGTCCAACTTAAATCTTTGGAAAATTCTTTTCAACGTGTTGCTCAGAATGTTGAAATCGTTCATGGGAAGATTAACTCCATAACTACAGCAAATTCCGTCACCAGTACCGAAAAATGCGTGAATTTAAGTGTAGAAATTGAACAGTTCCAAATTATCGAAAAGGCTGAAAATAATCAGTGGCTAAAATTAAAAGAAACATTAGCCATAAAGAACTAAACAAGAAATCCAGCACCGGTGAGCTGATGTTAAAAGTGTGATAAGAGAAAAAAAATTATAGTATGTAGTATTTCTGTATACATTATAAACAATTATTTTTTAAAATAAGGGACAAACTTGTGTGATATTGAATAACCAAAAGGTATCGTGGTACGAGTAAAATACACTAAGTCTATATATAATATTGTTTTAGGGTATGTTTTAATATTTTAATTTAAATGTAATGTTTCCCAAAAGGAATTTTAGCACGACGTATATTATATATTACTCCTACAAATTTCCACATTGAACGTAGTGTCTCGAATATTTTAGAGACTTGACGAACAAAATATCGTGTAAAAACACGAAGGAGTTTGTTGTTGACAATTTAATCAGACAATTAATCTGTAAGTCAGTTAATAATTCAGTTCTGTGCTGTACTTGTTTTTCAGTTTTTCCTGTAGATACGAATGGAAATTAAAAAGTCATAAGCTATTAAGTTTTTTTATTTGTAAGTTAGGCTTATCGACAAATGTAACTTGTTCAACATTATCGAAGAAATAAATAACTCATTACAAATAACTGTACTGGACAAAATAACAAAAAAAAAACGACCAACGATAAGAAACTATTACAACAATATGTTAACTTGCAACGAATGAAAGAACCGCTTAATGTGTAACTTAATTCAGCAATATACATAGTTTTTACTGATGGTGCTTAACTTCGAAAATATTATTTAAAGATGTTTCTAAGTTTTAAATTATATGTTTCTTTCAGTAGTATATAATAATTTGCGACAAATATGCATCACCTTGTCTCGTGAGAGAGAACTGAGCT